TTATTATTGTTATTATTACCACATCATAAATGAATCAGAATGGTTCTGCTTATTGTTTGCAGGAATACTGACGGGCTCTTTCTATTCTGTCTCCACACTTTTAAACCAGATGATCATGGACTGTTATAAGGTAAACTGACATAATAATAATAATAATAAAGCACAAATAAACCCAGTCTTCTGATTTCTACCAGTTTTTTTTAACACAAATTTAGCTGTGAAAGAAAAAATAAAAGATCATCACTGTGTTGATTCTCCTGTTTAAACTCGACTCAAAGATCACGTTCGAGCAGTAAAACAGGTCAGAAAGCAACAAAATGACAAATCCCGACATGGTCAAATGAGAAAAGAGTTTTACGTTGCTTCACTTTTTACTTGTTTTTGTTGCTAAACCTGCAGAATAAAACGACTAAAAGAGGAAAAGAGACTGAAGCAGAGCTGGAAAGAACTAAAACTTCTGATGACTTTGATGAGACGTGAACTTATTGTCCGAGTTCGTTAGCTGCTTTCACGCATGCCTGCTGCCCACCCCAACACTTTTAACACACACACTAACACACACACACACACACACACACACACACACACACACACACACACACACACACCAGAGAGGCTGATGCTCACTCAGCTTCTGCTTCTCATATTATTACAGAAGCTTCACACACTCACACTGACAGATCCTCACCTTTACACGAACTTCTAAAGCCGTTAGATGACTGAACAGTTCTCACACAGTAAATCCCTGACCCCTCTCTGCTCACCATCAGACCCTTACATACATGTGACCAGCTTAAACACCATCTATCGTGAGAAATGCTCTGAATATTAAAAAAAAATGGCAGAGGAAAAGCAATAACCTCTCTTCCGTTTGTTTTTGTTTCAGGGCCAGGAGTTGAATGCTGGGAGGATTGGTTTGACTCTTGTTGTTGCTGGGATGGTGGGCTCCATCCTCTGCGGTCTGTGGCTGGACCACACCAAGACGTACAAGTACGAGACATCATTTAGTTCAGGGCTATTCAACTAAATCAGTCCGGGGGGCCACAGTTACTGCAGGTCAACAGCTCAGGGGCCGAATATCCAGCAATTAAAGGGGCAATATCATGTAAAATCAACTTTTTTGAGTTTTATATCATGTTATAATGTTATACTCTCATAAAAAACATGCCCAAAGCCTTGCTTTGACTCATTCATGCATGTTTGAGAAATTCTGCAGCGTTTTTATGAAGCCATGCTGAGGAGCAAAACGACAGGTGGGGACAAGAAACACCTTTGGGGACCAGAAACAGCTTTGGGGACCAGAAACACCTCTGAGACGTGTCTTTAAGCTGAACTTCCTCATGGCAGAGCACACTCCCTCCCCCCCTCCCCACGCACGCCACCCATGACTCCTGCAGGCTCTCGGGTGAAACTGAAAGTGAAACTTAACTGTCTGCTACTCTCAACATTACTTCTCACACAGTGAAGCTCTTTTCAGATTAAAAATAGCTTTGAGAAAATGTATTTTCAGATGCCAAGTAAACTGCATCAACGCGCAAAACCCCCGCCCCGGCACCAAAACGGACGGGACAGAAGCAGAAGCAGTTTCTTAAAGAGACAGAGGCCAATTTCAAGGCGTTTAGAAGAGGAAGTGATGAGAGGTTAAGTTTATTTTCTATTTAAACATAAAAACAACATTTTAATAACAGCTAAAGGTCCCATAGATACTTTATTATGGTATAGTAAATATATACATGCCTGAGAAACACATAATATTGGCCCTTTAAAGTAAATAAACCAAGTATTACAAAGATCTGTTACCTTTGAAATAGTTTATTTTGCTGTATTTAATCATGAATACAACATACAGAACCCTATAAAAGTAGTGATAATTAAACAACAGAAAAACAAAAATAACACGTTATGCCTCTTATTTAACACAAATAATATTTTAATATCTCTGACTTGCCAAATTTTTAACCAATTTTATTTTCACTTTCGTAGTTTTATCTTCAAATGCTTGTAGTTTTAACTGTCTTGAGTGTTTATAGAAATGTTTTTTACCAGCTTGTAGCCAAGATTCTGATGTTTCTGTAGACACCACACCTGTCTGTGTTGAACTAAAAGAACTTAGAGTAATTAAAGAAGAAAACCGGGGGTTTGGACTTAAAGGGTCAATATTATGTGTTTCTCAGGCAGATATTTAAATACTATACCATAATAAAGTATCTGTGTCARCTTTAGTTGTTATTAAAATGCTGTTTTATGTTTAAATAGAAAATAAACTTATCTTCTCATCACTTCCTCTTCTAAACGCCTTGAAATTGGCCTCTGTCTCTTTAAGAACCACCTTCCGCTTCTGTCCCACCCATTTCAGTGTGGGGGGTTCGCACTTGCGGGGGTTGGGGGGCTGCTATGATGCAGTTTACTTGGCTTCTGAAAATACATTTCCTCAAGGGTTTTTAGAATCTGAAAAGAGCTTCACTGTGTGTTAGGAGCTCAGCAGACAGTTTCACTTTCAGTTTCACTCGTTTGCTTTGTTACTTCCGAGAGCCTGCAGGAGTCATGGGCGGGGTCTGTGGGGTGGGGAGGTGTGCTCCGTGATGAGGAAGTTCAGCTTAAAGACACGTCCCAGAAGTGTTTCTGGTAACAAAAGGTGTTTCTGGTCCCCACCTGTCGTTTTGCTCCTCAGCATGGCTTCATAAAAACGCTGCAGGATTTCTCAAACATGCATGAATGAGTCAAAGCAAGGC